CTGGTGTTGTCCCCCGCAGAGTACTACTGCTTTTAGGCATTTCCAGTTTGCTTGTAACCAGTTCCACCACCCAGGCGCGGAAAGGGTGGCTGGTTGCTCAGCGAGCTGTGGCTCCTCCCTTCCGCCTAGGGCCTTAAAGCTTCCTCCAGGCTCCAGTCACAGCCTTGTCCCCAGTCCCGCAGCCTCGGCCATGGGCGCAGCCGGCTTGTCGGCGCTGACCCGCCTGGGCCTCTCCGCGCCGCGCCTCCCCGCGCAGACCCGGCCCGGGTGGCTCGGGGTCGCCGCGCTGGGACTGGCCGCCGTGGCGCTGGGGGCCGTGGCCTGGCGCCGAGCGCGACCCAGGCGGCGCCGGCGGCTGCAGCAGGTGGGCACCGTGTCGCAGCTGTGGATCTACCCGGTCAAGTCGTGCAAGGGGGTGCTGGTGGATACGGCCGAGTGCACGGCCATGGGCCTGCGCAGCGGCCACCTGCGGGACAGGTACGTGGGGGTCAGGCGACTATGTGTGGCGGGTGGTGGGGCTTTCGGCTGGTATGGGACCGGTGTTGTCTGGTCTGAACTTTGGAACCTTATGGGACCTGTGTTGTCTGGTCTGAACTTTGGAACCTTTGATCCTTTAAGCCGGGCAGCTCAAGTTTTGGCCTAGTTCAAATTTGGAGCTGCCCTCGGGCAAGCTCCTGCCCTTCACAGGATGAGAGAAGTCCATCACCTGTGCAAGGAGGGGGTTGGACCTGGCTGTGTCCAAGTCTTTAAAAAAAAATCATTTTTTTAGGGGCTCATACAACTCTTATCACAATCCATACACACATCAATTGTGTAAAGCGCATTTGTACATTCATTGCCCTCATCCTCAAAACATTTGCTCTCCACTTAAGCCCCTGGCATCAGCTCCTCATTTCCCCCTCCCTCCCTCCTCTCCCCTCCCTCTCCCCTCCCTCTCCCCCCCACCTCCAAGACTTGTGAGCCCTTAAGTTTCTGATTCTTATTGTGATGCAAAGGTAGAACAATAAAAGAACCAGCTGGAGGGGGCAATGCAGAAAGTACCCCATCCCCACTCCCACCCCAAGGACCTTGACCTTAGTGTGCCTTGTTTTTCACAATACCCGGATCCTGGGGCCCTTGCGTGGGAGGCCTGCCCCACTGTAAGGAGTGAAGTGTTCTTCTGGGTTGGGGCCGAGGAAGCAGGGGAACTCTGAGTGGGAGGTAGCTGCTCTGGCCAGCGCAGAGCTGGGATACTTGCCTTTAGCGAAGGATATTTCCTTCCTCCAGCCGTAAAGTGGTCCTCAAGCTCAGTACTTGGGGTAAAGTATACAGTAGATCATAGCACATGGAGTTTTTATTCCCTGCTACTTCACTCATCCCAAAGGTGCACGTACTCACTGACCAGAATTAGAAAGGCTCTGTTGACAGAGGAGGAGCCTAAATGCTAGAAAGTGCAATCAAGGAAGATCTGGACCTCCTTCTTTGGTGCGTTACGAAGTTGCCTTCTTCTATGACTGAGGTGTGGTTTAACTCTGGTCTCGTGTCTGTGGAAGGGAAATCGGGAAGCTGATCATTCAAGAAACCTCCTAGCAGAGGGCAGTGTGCACCCCGGGGTGCACTCCACAGTCGGTACAGTAAGCATTGCTTTCTGGAGATGGTAGCCCTCCTAAGGGGATGGCAGCATCCCAGTGCACTGCAAACCAATGTTGAATCATTTTAGGGACGTGTTATAGATGAAAACCATGCAACTCATAGCTTTTCCATTCCACCCTCCACCAGACTTCTAATCCTGGGAAGTTTAAAAAGAATATATAGTTTCATGAGACACTCATCCCAGACCTACTGAGTCAGATTCAATGGGAGTGGAGCCGGCCTCTGCAGTCTGTTTAAAGCTTCTCCGGTGATTCTGGTGCTACAATTAAAGGGCATTATCTGGGATCATTCCGAAAAAGAACAGGGTGTTAAGAAAGTAAGTCTGTAAGTGTGAAGGATTAGGAACGCTTTGATGTTGAAAAGACTCCAGGCAAGGCAGGGCTGGGCACCTCCAAGGAAGAAAATAGGGTGAAGCAAAGTCTCACAAGGCACTTGCCGAGAGAAATGGGCTTGTGTTCCTGTTATTTCCTTTCTCTCCTGGAAGCTTGAGGCTGTTTCACAGGCACGTGTTCCAGCCCTTGTCTGTGGTTCCTCGGGTTGCCTGACTTTCTCACGTGCTGCTTTCCCACGTCTCTTTGTCCCTGCTTTGCTGTGGCCATCGTTTTCATGGGAAGAGGGATCGTGCTTTGCCTGTGCTTTCCTGCATCCATGGGCATCCTAAAGGGAATAGAACTTAATCTGCTTTTGTTTGCTTTGAAGGGTGAGTGATTGGGAAGGGGTGAGGTGGGGTGAAAATTGAAGAGGCAAGAAAGGCAATGAAATTAACATTGATTTAGCGCTTAATACGCAACCTTTGTGGTGCAGTAGGTGCCCTGGTGACCTTGGACTGCTAACTGCAAGGTCAGCAGTTGGAAACAATCAGGGGAAATTCTTTACTCTTACAAAGAATTATAAGAGGGGGCAATGGAGGGGCGGGCAATGCAGAAACTACCCCCATCCCCACCCCCACCCCCAAGGACCTTGGCCTTAGTGCGCCTTGTTGTTCACAATACCCTGATCTTGGCAACCCAAAGGGGCAGTGCTCCTCAGTCCTACAGGTTGCTATAAGGTGGAAGAAACTGGATAGCAGTGAGTGAGGGGCGCATTGGGTCCACGTTGAGTTGCTAATCCTAAAGTGGTAACAGCAATTCCAATCCACCAGCAGAAAGATCAGTCTGTCTGCTGCCATGACAACTTACAGCCTTGGAAAGCCTGAGGATCCATTCTCTGTCCTGCAGGGTCTCTAGGAGGTGGGATTCTCATGATGACTGAAGGCTTGGTTTTGAGCTACAGCACACAACTGAGCGACAGGCTGTCAGATCACCATGTGCTGCTGGGTCCATTCCAACTCATGACTTGAGCTAGACACAAGCCATAGGGTGTTTAATAGCTGCCATTTTGTAGCTGTGGTTCCCCAGGACTTCCTGAGGCCTCTCTGGGTAGACTCAAACCTTCAACTTTTCTATTGGCAGCCAATCAGGGAAACCAGTGGCATCACCCAGAGGTTTCGAACAGTTTCATAAAAAGCACCTTAATTAAGCTTCATTACAATCTAATTGGATACCTATTTATTAACTCATTTTCCAAATACAGCAATGATATCAGGCAGGATACTGAGAGATTAAGTATTGAACCCAAGATCACAAATCTATATATGTTGGAGGGATTTGAACTCAAGCCTGTGTTAGTATATCATTCCAGCCCTTTCTGTGATTCCAGCGTAGGATACAGAAGTATGAAGTTTGCAGTGAGGACCAGGAGACTGTGGACAAAATCATTCCCTTCAACCTCTTTGAGTCTCATTTTTCTCATTTGGAAAATGAAGAGGTTGAACCTGGAAAATGAAGAGGTTGATCTCTGAGGCCCAACTCACCTCCAGTTTATCTACCAAAACCGCAAACCAAATTAACTGCCATCCAGGTGAAGCCGACTCATAAGTGACCCTATAGGACAGGGTAGAACTGACCCTGTGAGTTTCTGGAGCTCTTTATGGGAGTAGAAAGTCCTGTCTGTCTCCAGCCGACTGGGTTTGAACTGCCAACTTGCAGATCTCAGCCCAGCTATTAACCACTATGTCACCAGGCCTACCTTATTTATCTAAGGATCATTGAAATTCAAAATTCAACTTGTACTACTCTAAAGAACTCTACTAAATGAATCCTGCTCAACCCAAGAAGACAAAAACAAAATGACTAAAAATCTTCTGAAATCAAACCTTTGCCATGGAGTTGATTCCAGCTCATGGCAATCCATATGCTGTAGCATGGAACCAGACATTGTCTGGTTTTCTTGGCTGTAAACAAATAAGTGGGCTCACCATGAGTGGAACTGACTAGACAGCAGCAGGTTTGATTTGGTTTTCATGTTTATGGAGTCAGCTCACTAAGCCTTTGTTCCACAGTGCCAATAAGTGGGTTTGAACCACCCACCTTTAAGTTAATGGTCACATGCTAACAGTTTGTGCTGAATGCTGTAAAAGGCCTCTTTGATATGGTGCACTTCTGAATCTGTCTTTTTGGAACTCCTCTTAAGAAACTGGGATCCGGGTGTATAAGCAAATGTGGTGAAGAAAGCTGATGGTGTCGGGCTATCAAAAGGTATAGTGTCTGGGGTCTTAAAGGCTTGAAGGTAAACAAGCGGCCATCTAGCTCAGAAGCAACAAAGCCCACATGGAAGAAGCAGACCAGCCTGTGTGATCACGAGGTATTGAAGGGATCAGGTATCAGGCATCATCAGAACAAAAAATCTTACCATAGTGAATGAAGGTAGGAGTGTGGAGTGGAGACCCAAAGCCCATTTGTAGGCCACTGGAGATCCCCTTGCAGAGGGGTCTTGGGGAGGAGATGAGGCAGTCAGGGTGTGATGTACCAACAATGAAAATCCAACTTTCCTCTAGTTCCTAAAAGCTCCCCCCGCGCCCCTCCCCCCTGCACTATCATGATCCCAATTCTACCTTGCAAGTCTGGCTAGACCAGAGGATGTACACTGGTACAGATAGGAACTGGAAACACAGGAATCCAGAGTGGATTATCCCTTCAGGACTAGTGATGTGAGTGGCGGTACTGGTAGCATAGAGGGAGAGTGGGTTGGAAAGGGGGAACCAATTACAAGGACCTACATATGACCTCCTCCCTGTGGGATGGACAACAGAAAAGTGGGTGAAGGGAGATGTTGGACAAAACAAGATATGACAAAATAATAATTTATAAATTATCAAGGGCTCGTAAAGAAGCGGGGAGCAGGGAGGGAGGGGGAAATAATGGGGACCTGATGCCAGGGGCTTAAGTGGAGAGGAAATGTTTTGAGAATGATGAGGGCAATGAATGTGCTTTACACAGTTGATGTATGTATGGATTGTGATAAGAGTTGTCAGAGCGCCTAATAAAACGATTAAAAAAAGTTTAGGAAATGCATTAGTTGCTTCTCTATTGCTAAAAATAAAAGTCATCTAATAGCCTTATTCACACACACACACAAAGAAAGAAACTGGGATCCTTCTTTAGGAACCTGGGATCCTTCTCTGTCAGTGCTCTGTGCTTCAATTTTCTGGACGTAGTTTGTCAGCTCGTCACCTATTTGTCAACGCTTGGCTGGAACACCCTGAGCTTTGAGGGTGTTTAAAGTCCACCCCGCACAATGCTGGCATTGGCTGCCTGCCCTGACCATGCTAAAGCCTGCTCTCCTTAGCAGCTGTTGGTGACTGTATCCTTTGTCTATCTCCATCCAGTCTAATGCCAGTCCTTTATTCCCAGTGCACAGACAACTGTCGCTTGGAAACAGCATTGTTCAGTTTATGATGTGACGCACCATTTCCTGTCCAATTTCGTGTCTTAAATGTTTAAATGTTCTCCCCACTAACAGACTCAGACTTTCCTTCGCGGGCCCCCACCCCCCCACCGGCTATTGGTAACTTGAACATGAAACCTTGCTGCTGTCTTGCACTTTTCATCCCCATTGTTGCTGGTGGGCCACTCAGAGCTGTTTTTTGAGGAATTGGAACTCTGGACTCCTGCGCCAAACTTACATCCCATACTCACATTTTACTTGTAAAATCAAGATGTTGATGTAACACTGATGACTAGGTTGTGATAATCTTCTTTACACAAAACAAAACAAGCAACAGCAACAAAACAAAGCCTCCAGGTTTACCCTGTCTTTCCGATCAGGGGACTGAGCTACTCATTAATTCACTGGATTAGCATTTGTGTGCGCGAGGGGAAAATAATCATTACCTTTTACTTTGTGTCGTTCACCTTTGTCCTGCCACAGTGTTCCACTCTCCTCAAGGTGCTACTTGCTTGGTCTTCGGTCTCCCTTACCGGCACAAACCCTTTATCCATCACTTCCCGCTGTGAACTTGCATGTGACTGTATGATAGGCTGGAGCAAAGGGTGGGGACTGTGAGCCCAAAGAAAGAGCTAATGTTGGGGAATGTATGGAAAACCAGAAGACTCAGCCTAGGGGACTGACTGTCAAGGTGATATACAAACAGGGTTTCTCTCCTGTTTGGATGTGTGTCTGGGGGACTGACTGTCAAGGTGATATGCAAACAGGGTTTCTCTCCTGTTTGGATGTGTGTCTGGTCCCGGGCAGACCTCAGAGTTTGTTTTGTCTGAAGATGGGGTTAGTTGGAAATCAAGGGGGCATTATGGAGTTAACCAGATTAGCATCATCCAGACTCTGTACCCAAGGATGGCACTGAAAGTAAAGAAGGGGGCTCAGGCTCATGGGAAGAGAGGTTGTAACAAAACCAAACCATTGCCATCTAGTTGATTCCAACCGACAGTGACCCTGCTCTAGAGCCTTCAGAGAGAGCATGACCCTGCTATCATCTTGATTTTGAACGTCTGACCCCCAGAACAGTGAATGAATACATTTTTGTTGTTTTTAAGTCACCCAGTTTGTGAAAACTAGTTTCTTGGGATTGACTACCAATTACTACCAACTGTGTGTGTCTGTGTGTCTTCTCCTCATCTTACAAGACACCAGTTACACTGTAATAGGGCCCATGCTGCATCAGGATGACCTCATCTTAACTTCATAACAGCTGCAAAGATTTTGTTTCCAAATAAGTCACACCCACAGGCATTAGGGATTAGGACTGAGGAACACATATTGGGGAATGCAGTTCAATTTATAACCCTGTGCATCAAGAGGAAAAGATTGCTTAGGAAGTGTCTTGATGTACGATCTACAGGCCACAGCAAGTTAAATAGAGTAGAAGCTGATTTGGTTCCTCTTGGGATCAGGAACATTACAAGACCTTTGTCTCCCGCTCCATTTCACTTAGGCCAGTAGTCATGGCCAACCTCATCTTGTTCCACAATGAGAGGACCTGGAAGACATTTCACTTCCGCTTCTAAGGACTCACAGTGTTTAACAGACCTGGAGGGGTTATGACCAAAGTAAAACCCTCAAATAAACCACATGGTTGCTGAAGCAGAGAGGTCAGGTCCCCATACCAGCTCTGTCTTCTGGGTTTTCATAACTGGACACTTTCCAACATTTGTTGCCAAACAAGCTAATTTTGGAGGCATCAACTTTCAGACCAAAAATTGGCTAGAGCTGGATAATTGTTTAGAAAAAATGGCTGGGTCTCAAGTTGGAGCGGATGGAGGGTTTTGATGGCATAGAAATTAGAAGGAGCTATTGAGAGGATGCTTTCTGAGTGCTCTTGTTTTGTCTCTGTAGGTTCTGGCTGGTGGTTAAGGAAGATGGACATATGGTCACTGCCCGACAGGAGCCTCGCCTCGTGCTTGTCTCCATCACCTACGAGAACAACTGTCTAGTCCTTAAGGCCCCAGGCGTGGACCAGCTGGTGTTGGCCACCAAGCTGCCTTCCTCGAACTCAATTCAAGACTGCAGGTGTTCTACTTGGGGGTATCCATGGACTACAGTAGACCTGGTTTTCCTGTAGGCTCTTCCCTGCATTCTGTCATGCTACAGTTTTCCCACTACTCTTTCAGGATACCAGGCACAAGCTGGTTCCCTGTACTCCGGACTCCTTTCTTCTCCCACAATGTACCATCACTTCTCCCACTTCCTTCTGTGTTTGCTGTCTCCATCCCTCCTTTTCCCCTAATCCTTCTGAACGTTGTCCTTGGGGAAATGATGCCTTTTTTTCTCTTCAATGGTTGAATATTCTAAGGTGTGCAGAGTGCACCAGCTTTATTTATTGTTCCCTTATAGCCCTATCTGTGGTTTGGCTGAAAATTGAGCCGTTGGGTTTAGCTCACTTCCAGTTCTAAAGGATGGCTAGGGACCATCATCTTGGGGGATTCACCAGTCTGTATATGACCAGTAAGCCTGGTCTCCTTTATGATTCTGAATTTTGTCCCACAATTTTCATTCTCTCCATCTAGGAGCAGGTAATGTGACCTCCTTCCAGAGCAGTTAATGTTGATAGCCAGGCACCATCTAGTTCTAATCACAAGGTTGTGGAGACTGATGTTTTTGTGATTCAGTAGTCCCCTGGACTAAATGTCTCCACAGGAGGCCTTTCAATGTTCATCATTTCTCTTTCCTCTGGATAAGGAGAGACCAATAGTTGCATTTTAAATGGCCACTCAGGAGCTTTTCAGACCTGCTGCTACTCACCAAAGCAGTATGTAGAACATGTCTATGTGGATGAGATTATGCCAATAGACCTTGGTGCCTGTCCACTTTACCCTTCTGCCCAAGAGTATAGTCCTGATTCCCCAGGGCCAAATCATAGGGTATGTGCTTGTTAACTGTTACAAGAAAATGATAATTGTTTTACAAAATGATAGCAATTTAACTTCATCAGATTGGAGGTTTATTTACTCATGTCTTCATCAAATCTAAGATTCATTATACTTTATATTTCCCACATATGGGTAAACACATTGAGTAGTGTCGCTTTGTGGTTCACATTTGCATTTTCAGAAATCCCCAATGTAGTTGAATTTTTTCTTTCTGATTCTGAGGTCTCGATGCTTCCTTGTCTAGAACATTCTCTTCCTATTTTGTCACCATGATTTACCTGTTGGCAGGTAGTGATTCATCATATTTTCTTCTTTTTTATCAAAGTCATTTTACTGGGGGATCATACAACTCTTATCACAATCCAAACATCCCTCCATTGTGTCAAGCGCATTTGTGCATTTATTGCCATCATCATTCTCAAAGCATTTGCTTTCTGCTTGAGCCCTTGGGATCAGCTCCTCATTTATTCGTTATATTTTCTGTATCCAAATCGTTAGTTATCTGTGATGTAAATGTCTTGCTCCATTTTACAGGTTGTTTTTTTTATCTTTTTCATGGGATTTTTGGTGAATGTTCCTAATTTTATTATAATTAAATTTGTTGTTGTTGTTGTTGGGTGCCATCGAGTCACTTCTGACTTAGCGACCCCCAGGTACAGCAGAACGAAACACCGCCCAGTCCTGCATCATGCTCACAATGGTTCTTCTGGTGGAGCCCGTTGTTCCAGCCATATGTCAACCCGTTTTGTCCAGGGCCTTCCTCTTTGTCACTGCTCCCCCACTTTACCCAGCATGACGGCTTTCTCCAGGGACTGATCTCTCCTGACCAATGCCCAAAGTACAAGAGGCGAAGTCTTGCCATCCCTGCCTCTAAGGAGCATTTGGCTGTACTTCCAAATCGGATTTCTTTGTTCTTTTAACAGTCTACAGTACTTTCAATATTCTTTGCCAAGACCATAATCCAAATGCAGCAATTCTTCTTTTGTGTATCTTAAGCTATATGCTCCACCTGTTAAACATTATAAAGCTATTCTCCTTCCATTTTCCCCCTAACATATTTAGAAAAACAATGGAAGGAAAATAATTATAATGAAAACTTTTTTTAAAATGAAGACTTAAATGACAAAGGCAAAACTTTAACAGATGTAGGGAAATGATAGAATATACTGTTCTAGTCATGACTATAACTAGAACAAAAAGTGCTGGTCTGCTTTATTACTACTGCACTACACTCTACTGTACTGCCATACGTTCTGTAAAGTTACATCTTTATATCTAGTAGGACAAGATCCTTATTGTGTTATTCTTCAAGAGTGTAATGAAAGGAGCCCTGGTGGTGCACTGGTTAAGCACTGGGGGCCAACTGAAAGGCTGGTGATCTGAGCCTTCTCCTAGGAGAGACTTGGTGATGTGCTTCGGTGTTGACTACAGACTAGAGACTGTGTGCTCTGTTGGATGGGATTGCTCTGAGTCACACTTGATGTGATGGTGCCTAACAACAACAAGGTTGTGACTGAGGAATAGTACAGCACAAGGAGACTTTAAAAAGTGAGAAAATGGAATTACAAGATAATAGATGTTTCCACAACTCTTGAAGACCCCTGTAGCATATGATCTTATAGTTATGATTTTAAGAGTATATTGACTAGTCTTGGGATTTATTCTTCCAAAATTATTGGCATCAGCCTGTCAAGTTTTCAAGTAAAATCCTTCTAGAATTTTTGTTGGAATTGCAGTGAATTTGTGGCTTGATTTAAAGAAAACTCAAATGAGTTATACCTTTTGTGACTGACTTTGTTCAGTGAACAGAATACTTTCTGTGTCCAACAAGAAGCACTTTATTTCTCTTAGGGTTGCTGAGCAAATATTCCAGTCTATGTGTACGCCACATTCTATTTCTCTAGTCAACAATTGATGAGCACTTGGGTTGTCTCCACCTCTTGCTTACTGTCAGAATCTTTGTTTTCACCATTATCTCCACACAAGGCTGAACTGAGAAGCATATTTGTACAGCACATTTGCTCTGGCTCTCCTCCCTTTTGGCTCTGCCTAGCTTCTGTCTAAGGACCACTTACCAGCTTTCTAGGGCACTCAAGCCCTATAGTCCAGTTGTTCCATCTTTATCCCATCACTCAATGTGCTGGTGTTCATAACCCTGTTATTTTCCTGTGCCCCTTCCAGGCTGTTCGGTCTTGACATTCAAGGCAGGGACTGTGGCGATGAGGCAGCCCAGTGGTTCAGCAACTTCTTGAAAACAGAACCATATAGGCTGGTTCAGTTCGAAACAAAGATGAAGGGGAGAACATCAGAAAAAATCTTCTTCCCTTCCATTCAGAATTATGAGGTGAGCTGACAGAAAAATGGTTCTTTTCCTTTCTATAAGCCCCCTCTCCCTCTCTGGCTCTGTTCTCGGCTGGCGCGATCTTGTTGGAATGGCCGGGTGAGTGGTAACTGGGCATAGCTACCAGGGATGGCAAGGCAAGAGAGCTATTTCAGAAGTGGAGTCTTGAGGTTTTAACTATGGCAACAAATCAAACCTTGTCAATAATCCTCATTCACATAAGGATTTCAGAATGGATTGCATCAGAATAGATTGGGGGAGATATTATGGAGAGAGAAGCCAAAGGGAGCTCCCTGGTTTCTGACTCTGAGCAGACAGGTCCACAGGGATCTCAGAAGGAAACCAGTGTGGGATGCAAGTGAAACATTTATCTGAGATTGGATCGAGTTACCTCGAAATTACAAAGCCAGGATATCTCCAGGCCCTTCTTTTACAGTTGGTGTGGCTATTGCAGGTGCTAGAAAGGCATCTTGTCCTGAATGATACTCACCTCTCCGAGATCGAAGCCCAATCACCATCACCTTGATTCTGCAGAGAGAAGGTGTAAATGCTGCCAGTTCCTTAGGGAGTTTCTTCCCAGGACCCCTAAACAATATAAACACTTGAGAGGAGGGTTTAAAAAAAATATTTATGATTGCTTTATTTTTATCCTGTGTAGATAGAATTTAGAAATAGGTGGTGGGTGAGTACCAAAAGCTCTGTGACTTTGTGCCAGTTTCTAGGCTGGCATCTGTCTTCAGTCCTGGGTAGCTGAGAGTCGTCCTTGGTTCTCACCATCACCTAAGTCCCCTGTAGCCACTTCCTCAGGAAGGGGTGGGATTCCTCAGTTTGCTGGGATGGATGTGTGCAGTGCATTGGAACCCCGCAGTGGGTACTGGAGGCAGGAAGAAGGACAGGAGACAAAGATGGAAGAAAACTTGGTCTTTGTCTACTTGAAGTTCAAGGGTAGAGGTTTTGTCCCTTCACTGCTGTTTCCCCACCTATGCCTGACATATGGCAGGTGCTCGATAAATAGGTGTTGAGTGAATAGGTGTTGTTGAAAGTAATCATTACTAGAGGAGAGTTGACTGGTTGCACAATGATTAAGCACTCAGGCAGCTCACCAAAAGGTAGGCAGTTTGAACTCACCAGTGGCTTGGGGAGGGGGAAGAGGGAGAAAGGCCTGGTGATCTGTTGCCATAAAGGTTATAGCTTAGGAAACCCTACTGGGCAATTTGGCTCTGTTATGTGGGGTTGTTGATGTGAGTCAGAATAGAGTTGAAAGCACCCAACCACAGAAACAGCGGAACTGAGGGTGCAGACGCTTCCACTGTTGGATAAGCAGGTGGGAGGAAATCAGTGTAGCAAACTGGCCTGGAGGCCAAGAAAGAGGTGGCCTGGGAGGCATCTTTGGCTAGCCCTGCCCAGTACTTCTAAATATGGAAATGAACGAGGAGTGCCCCTGGGAGCCTCAGCAGGGAAGACCTGTGCTCCAGCACTCAAGGGGCTATGCCCAAGCCCACAGCACCACCTCTCTTTCTAGATGCCATTTTCCAGCACTCAAGGGGTTCTGCTTCTGGGCTGTCCTTAGCCTTGGAGTTGGTCTAAGAAATCTTACGGGGCAGTGAGGCCTGACTGTGCTGTGTTCTTGGGACAGGTAGCCTACCCGGACTGCAGCCCAGTTTTGATCTTCTCAGAAGCCTCCTTGGCGGATCTGAATGCCAGGTTGGAGAAGAAAGCAAAAGTGGAGCATTTCCGGCCAAACATTTTGGTGACTGGCTGTGGTGCTTTTGAAGAGGTAAGCAGCCCGCTGCCTTTGTGTGGTATGTCCAGATGTGCTGTTCAAGAGACCAGGGAACGTCTATCTCCTTTAGGGTGCTGATGCAGCTCCTCCAAGGTGGACCCTGGGGGAGACTCTCTTCCCCAAGTTTACCTTAGCCTGGTGCAGTCAGTGGTTGTGTATTGCGAATACCATCGCTTCTGTCACCTCAGGGTCGGGGGTGGTGCTGGTGTTCTGGCCATAAGCCAAGCCTCACTCTAAATTAAAACAAGTCTGAGACTTTGCTTGTTATGTTAGTTGCCACGGAGAAAGTTCCTACTCATAGGCACCTTATGTCTAGTAAGATGAAAGCTCGTCTGACTACCCCATCTTCATGATCCTGGAAGGATCTGACATGGGGTAGTCAGATGAGGCTGACATGGCAATCTATGGCACGGGGGGTTTCCTTCATTTTTGATGTCCCTGGTGACATAGTGGTTACGCACTGGGCTGTGATCCACATGAGAAACCACCATCTGCTTCTTGGGAGAAAGACTACTTTCTATTCCTATAAACAATAACGATGTGGGGAAACCCACAGGGAGTTGCAATGAGTCGGCATCGACTCAATGGCAGTGAGTGAGGAGGGAGTCAGTTCTGCTTTTCCAAGCACGTTGCCTTTCTCTGATTGGTCTGTCCTGACGATATGTTCTGCGTAATGAAGCGAGCCTCACTCGCCTTGCTTCTTAGACGGATCTCTTCATTCTTTTGACAGTCCACAGTAGATCGAACATTCTTTGCCCAAACCATATTTGAACACATCGGCACTTCTGTCTTCGTTTTTCACTGACCCAATTTCACATGCAGATAAGGCTACTGAAAGGACTGTGGCGTAGGGCAGACTCCTTAGTCATCGAGGTATTATCTTTGCTTTTCGACACTTTGAAAGGAATCTTTAACAAAAGATTTGTCTAATGCAGGGGTCGGCAACCTGCAACTCAAGAGCCATATGCGGGTCTTTTTTTATGTACACGTGGCTCTGAAGTAAACTATTGAAAATGAAAATGACCATAGTGTCATTTGAAATATTACTTTAACCATACCTTACTTTTGAAAGTATATTCATGGCTCTTCAATAAGCTTGAACTTGTTGATCGGGACAAAAGTTTGCCAGCCCCTGGTTTCATGAAAAACATTGGTTGATTTCTTAACTGTTACCCACACGGGTATTGATTGTTGGTCCACATAGAATGGAATTGCTGACAATATCAATTTGGGGCTTATGCTAGAAGCTATAATCGTAGTTCAGGCATAGCTAAAGGAAAACTTAATCTGAAGAAACCAGAAAACGCAGTCATCTGGCACGCAGGTGTGATTTATTCATATTGCCCTTTCCTGTACTACCCAAAAGGGCTCTCAAAGATCTGAGGCTCCTGAGAGCCCTGGACCCTTAAGCGGAGGCCAAGCGGCTAGAGAAGTCGGCTGTGGATGACATCCCCTGAAGGTCCATGTAGTTGCCCGTGGTCTCCCACAGAAGACTCACATTCTCTCCTACATGGTGAATGTCAGAAAGCCCCACCCTCTTCTTATTGCATCAAAAGGGACCCTGAGATAAGCACATGAAGATATAGAGCCGAATGCTGCTTTATAAGCTGTAAGAGCAGACATATAATGAGTTGGAGGGTGGGCTTTCCGAGCACTAATGGTAACAACTACAAATGCTTTATTGGGTGTTTCCTGGGTGCTAGGCACTGAGCTAGTTAATCACTTCACAAACCCAGCACTCGAATAGATGCCAACTCACCAGGACTCTTGAAGACAGAACAGAACTGCTCCAGAGGTTTCGGAGGCTGTGCATCTCTGTGGGAATAAGCAGCCTCCTCTTTCTCCCGCGGAGCCACTTTGCAGCCTTTGGGTTGCAACTTGACGCTTCCTGGTTCCACCCACAGCAAACCAAACTCACTGCCCCAGGGAGGCAATTCTGACTCATAGGCCCCATAGGACCAGGCAGAACTGCCCCCTGGGCTTTCCAAGACTGTTGGCTCTAATGGGAGTAGAAAACCCTGTCTTTCTCAGATGAGGCTGGGTGCCCGAGCAGCTGGGTTTCAAGCTGACCTTGGCTTGTGGTTAGTAGCCCCATGCATCACCTTCATTATTTCATACAACTTCTTTTATACTCACAATAGCAATTTGAAGTCTGTATCATTGCTCCCTTTTTATAAGGAAACTGAGGCTCAGGGGGGCTAACTAACTTGTCCTGTGTGTAAGGGCTGGTGCTACTAGTAGTAGACCCAAAACGTGATGAGATTGATTCTGTTGTGCTAAGGCAACGATTTGAATTTAGAGGTGCCACATAGTTTCATTTGAGGGTCGGGGGGCTTCAGACACCCTCTCATTTCTTCATTCCCTGGAAATGCCTTCATTTAGTTATTGTGTAAGCATAATGTGCCCTTCTTTGCTGGTAAACATCCTTTAGGCATACTGCCTAGTTCAAGTGCTTCTACACGTTGCTATTAGTTGCCATTGAATCGGCCAGCTCTGATGGCCTTCTGAATAACAGAGCGAACACTGCATGGGGCCATCTGTGTGCTCTCGGGTGTGTTGGAGCCCTTTGCTGGCGTATTGTGTCAGCCCACCTTCTGGAGGCCTCCCTTTGTTTTCACCCACCTTCTACCCAACATGAAGTCTTCTTCCAGTAATTAGTCTTTCCTGATGATACATTATTCAAATTAAGCGTATGGGAGCTTCAGTAGCCTTGCTTTTTAAAAAAAATCATTTTATTGGGGGCTCTTACAGATAGTATAGCAATCTACAAATCAGTGATGTCAAGCAAACTTGTACATATGTTGCCATCGTTATTTTCAAAACATTGTTTTCTATTTGAGCACTTATTATCGGCTGTTCTTCCCCCCCACCCTTCCACCCTCGTGAACCCTTGATAAATTAGATATTATTTTTTCATATCTTACACTGTCCACCATATCCCTTCACCTAGCCTTGCTTTTAACAAGCTGGTTGTATGCTGTGGGTCAGGGAGATATGCAAATGAGGTGAAGAGAGCTGATGGTGCTTGCACCGATAAGGAGAAGGGAGGCTTCCTGGTGCTGAAGCTGCAGTCTTGAGTCTCACAGACCAGCTTCTTGGAATGTGGGGGAAGAGGCTGCACAGTTCAACTCTGGCCTTGAGGGATGGGGGTGTGGGGAAGGGGTGCGCACACACAGTCCAGCGGCCTATCTTCCGGGAGAGCTGGGGGAAGGTGCTGTACACAACAGAACCGGCCCAAACACGGCCCAGACATAAACCCCATGGAGCCATTTCTCATCTGTAAGACATGGGGTCATCATGAGTCAGAACCAAGTTGCTGGCAATGGACTTGGTGTTTTGGTTAGGCGGAGTCCTGGCAGGAGATGAGGCTGGATGGCAGGCCACCACACCTGGGATTTGGATCCCATATTGCAAACATTGAGGAGCTGGTAATGGTTTTTGCGCAAGGAAGTCTTTATGAGGTGCATGCATCAATAAATATTGAATGTCTATGATTTCCCAGGCACCATATAACTGGAAACTTCTATGGAAGGGGGAAAAGGAGGGAAACCAGAGGGTCTTGGTATAAGACAGATTCGCAGGCATCACCCTTAAATCTGCATCAGAACCGTTGGTGAAAGGGCCTGTGAATCCTGTGGGTAAAACCATCCAAGGCAGTCTTGGCCCCTGCGTTTAGGGGGTTAGGACCACGGAGTGAAAGTTGTAGAGAAAGGAAAATGGCTGTGCTGAACCGGAAGAGGAAGTGGGCCTAGCACTCAAGGGGTCACATGGGAAGGAAAGCACCGGCACTCTATTTTTCTCCCCGGAAGTGAATCCTATCGCGTTCCCAACTGGTCTCATGAAATGTGGAGTTTTGGGAGGGATCCTCTTAAAGAAAAAGAAAAGAGCAGAAACAGAATTACTGTACCAGAGGCTGATGCAAGTTAGCGAGCCTCAGCAGAGTTGCCCTGGTGCTGACTCTGATCCGTGCCGGCGCCATGAGTAAAACTGCTCCTTAGGGATTACATTCACTGATTTTTTTGGTACATGGATTGCCTGGCCTTTCTTTCTGGGCACCTTTGGGTGGATTCTGAAACATGCACCACCATGGACTCTGAGCTTCATGATTTCACCATAAATCCTGCTGGACTTTCCCTTTGAAGTTCCCAGCATTGAATCATTGGTCTGTTTGTAAAGATGGGGTGAGTGCTTGTGAACCACTGCATTAAATGTTGCTCTGGTCTGGAGTAGAAATTCGTTCATGGAGCTGAAGTTCTCCCACAAGATGTCTATAATTTGTCCACACTTTTCTGGGAAATATTCTTTGGCGGAATTTTTTCTTGATGTATCTTCAATGAAGGGTTAATTGTTTTGCTATTCATGTTAGGGTAAGATCTTAGCAGGGCTATAATAAGAAAAGATTTTCTCATGCTTGGCTGAATTTGGGCTTTCCTGTGACTTGTGAGACTTAACCCAAGGCTAATGCAAGCCTATTATTCGGTCTCTTTTAGACGATTTGAATGGGCAGCCTGTTTTTTCTTTTCCCAATTTAAATGGCTTTATACTTCCATAAACAGTTCATTTGTGGCTCCATTCCTGCAATCTGTATCCATTGTGGTGGGTTTGCCGTGTTATAAATGGGCATTGTTTTTTTTTTGAGACACAGTTCTCTGCTTGTGTACTTTAAAAAATACTCTAACTATAAAATATGCTAATGTAGATCATTTATTAGTCCTTAATTTAGGAAGTTCCATAGCTAAGTTGGAAGCATTAGCCTCTCTACCTGGCACCATCACACAACTATAACTCTTTCAATTAGTGGGACCCTATTAAATATTAATACAAATGGTTGTGCACATGAATATTTAATAAATCAACTAATAAAAGTTAACAAAACAGTAGACCTAAGCAGCGGAAGAAGCTTAGTTTTTTATTTATTACCAAGTTTACAACGATGGGAAAATGCGTTGTGTAGCGTTTGCTCTGTGTGGCCCTGTGCTTTGTACTTTTCCCAT